CACACACACACACACACACACACACACACACACACACACACACACACACACACACACACACACACACACACACACACACACACACACACACGCACAAACACACACACACACACACACACACACACGCACACACACACAAACGCACAACCAGGGCTGCATGATTCTGATAAAAAATGCAATCTTGATTTAAAACACAATTTAAAAAAAATAATCCAGGTTTGCTGTGCTTGTTTGTAGGGCTGCACAATAAGAGGAAAACTAATTTATTTAGATGTTTGGATAATTTAGAATTTAAAATGTTAAAGCTTTTTTTTGTGTTAAAATTTAAAAATATTATTAATAATAATAAGTATTATAATAAGTATGATTGGCCAGCTAGTCGTTACCTGCACATCGTTTGCAGAACACCACGGCGAGGTTGATGGCGGCCCACTCGGGTTTAGCGGCGCTGCAGTCCGCACACATCTGATTGGACGGCTCCGCCCAGATGCGCTCGGCAACCTCGTAATTGGACAAGGCATCTTTAATGGAGTCGCGCATCGCCTCCACCCACTGATCCTTCAGCTGGTCTGTGTCGGCTACAAAACTACACACACACACACACACACACACACACACACACACGTTATAGCGATTTCAGCATCATGTCATGATTCACTGCTGCCGTGATGAAGACAATGTGCAGCAATCCATGCGAACTTCATTTCTTTACACTTCTGTGATATTAAATATATATATATAAATATTACATTCGTTAAATAATTTAATATATCTCTGATATTTCTCTATATTAAAAGTAACACAGAATAAAGATTTGTTGTGATCATTAGCTGGCAGGAGTTTTGTTCACGCTGCGTATTAACAGGAAATATCACGGACTAAAAGAGTTTAGATGTAAGAAACCATATCATTACATATGAGTATTGTTGATCCAGAGTCAGTGTCGCACGGCTGACATGTCTGATTGTTGGAGTTTATCCACGTTGTTTCCCCTTTTCATCTCTATTTCCCTTCAGCTTTGTTGCAATCACGAACATGTATAGTTTTAGTTTAGTTAATAATAAGAACACTGACAGTGTGTGAATGCGTTTCTGTGGGTCTATAAACCTGGTGCATTTGTTGAGTGCGTTAACACACACACTCACACACAGATGTCACATCTGACCTTCATATTCACTGAGCAGAGGAAGAAAAAAAACTACAAAACCACAACATCCGTGAGAAACTGAACACACACACACACTATTATCTCTCTCTCACACACACACTCACTGCATGACACTGTATTATCTCTCTCACACACACACACACACAGTTATTTCAGCTGGCTGGATGAACAGACTCTCAGTGACTCTCAGAGCGGAGCAAAGATTAACTGAGAGATGAATGAACGCATGACGGAGGGAAAGAAGTATAAAAGAGTGTGTGTGTGTGTGTGTCACCTGAATATGCGGTACGGTGTGGTCAGATCAAACCCTCTTCGGTCCATCTCCTTCACATTCCCAACATTCATATCAATAGAGGTGATCCCGATTCCCAGACGATAATCCTGAACAGAAACAAACATGCTTACTTTACCATGTAAACCGTGATGGTTGTATACATCACTTCATCATAGTTTATTAATAACCACACACATAGTTTTAAATTATGCAACTGAACATTGAGCAATACATTTAGACAAAAGTAACACACACACACTAACATTCAGGAAACGACAACTTTACAAGAGTCCATGTCAGCAACTAAAGTGATAATGATTTGAGAACTCAAAGCTTTCCTTGATCTTTTGACACATAAGAGGTCGTTGCACTATAAAAACATCCACTCAAAACTTCCTCGTTAGTCCAAATATAGCTTTTCTTGAAACCAAGCTTAAAGACGACGGGATTCAGATCGTCACATTATAACATGACAGAGTGGCGAAAGACCAGAATCAGACCGACGCCCACTTATGTAGCCCCACCCACTTCCTTAGCCCCGCCCACAGGTGCGTCAGGTGAGAGATACAGGGTCACATTAACTTCCAAAGCATCCTAAAGCTATTTATCTTCAACTATAGAGCATTATTTGTCTGATCGGCACATTTCCCTGTGGAGAAGTAAATCAGTCGCGATTCCGGCGCAGGCTTTCCCAGTACGATATGGACCCGCCTGTAATGGTGAAAGTTAATGGCTCTCTCTCTTTCTCTCGAGCTTAAAGGGGTGATGAACTGAGAAATCAAATTTTCCTTGAGCTTTTGACATCTAAGAGGTCATCAAATTATAAGAATATCCTGTAAGTTTCAGAACTGAAAACGTCCTTGTTAGTCCAATAAAAGCTTTAATTGACATCAGGCTCAGCAAATGACTGACGACACAGAGGATACAACACCACCTCCGCAGAAGAAGATCAACGCCTACTTCAACACGGCCGGTTTAGCCCCGCCCACCGATCCGCGCATTACACGAAACTCATTATAATATGCAAAACTGTTATCCACTCACAGCAGTGGGCGTTTACTTCCAAGTCTTCAATGCATTTTTGTTTTTGTGCTTTTACATTGATGTTTTTGAATGTAAAAACCAAGCGAACATCATAAGTTGACCTCAGACAACAATATAAAACAATTTAAAAAGCCAGTTCATGACCCCTTTTAACGGACACATGCACGCAAAATGAAGTCAAACTGCGCGGCTCGTCGAGTATCCTGGTAAACGCAGCCGGTTATCTCGGAGTTGAGAAGGAAAGCAGATCCGTGTCGTTTAATGAGTCCGGGCATTCGTCTTAAAGGGACAGTGGCCTTATATACCCGCAGCGGTTCGCCAACAATACTAATCAAACAAAAAGGAGAAAATGGCTTTTGTAGCTTTAACAAAGCTTTAATTTTATTAGTTATATTTTATTTATACAGTGAAGACTGTTATTTTACATTTGATTATTCAATTTCTGTACCTGAATACTGATAGATTAACCTGGAGAACATATCACTGCTGATTATCCTCTATTGTATTTATCTATGCTTTTGTTTATTATTTTCTATGCAGATTCACTCGCCTACAAAATCACCCCAATTATTCTTGAATGATTAATTGTTTTCAAATAGAGCTATTCAAATCATCTGGCGAAATTGTTTTTATATCTCAATATATATCGCAAAAAAACTAAATATCGCAATGTAAGTTTTTTCCGATATCGTGCAGCGCTAATGTAAGGATCCTGAAGCCAGTGGTGTGTCATGACTCATGTCCAGTCAGACCTTCCTCGTCTCAGCATCGTTTACTGCCGTCAGTAAAGCAAGCCAGCGACTACACTGAGACCAGTCTGTCTATAAGCAACATTTTTCACGATTAGTTATATCCACAGCTGTGTTAAGGTGTTCACGTCCACATGTAATGCTCATTTCATATGCAGAGATGTCAGCCAATCACAGCAGTGTGCGTTTACACGGGTTACCTCTGTGTTTTTGTAGAGATAGACTTTATCGCCACACACCACCGTGTAGAGCTTGGAGCGCAGGCCACGCATCTCTAGATAACCCTTCATCTCGTAGTTCACACAGGGGTTAAAGGTCAAGTCCAGGCTCGTCCGCGCCCGAGACACCCCGACACAGCTCTTCAACACCGACACCCACTCGTTCCTGTCCACTGACACACACACACACACACACACACACACACGTCAGTCGTTGAGTGAAAGTAACTGTGTTTATCACACTAGTCTCAAGTATCTCGTGTGATCTAGTATCTAAATCATGTGATATTAAAACAGTGTAATGTTTACTCCCATTTATACACCTGACATATCTTTAAAAGTCATACATTTTGTAATAAAATGGTATAACAAATGTCTTAATAATCACTTCTTGCATTTAGGGACAGAATGATTGGATTGTGACAGTGTTTACTGTAGACGATTGTAAGAGTGTGTGTTTCATCTTCTCCCTCATATGCTGAACGAGTCCAGGCTTGTTTATAATTAAAACACCCCAATTATGCACAACATATTTTTGCCGGTTATTATTGGTATTTCGGTTCCATAACTATTAAATAAATACAGTTTGAACCTGAAATATTTAAAATTCTAGTCTTGCACAGTATAGTAATATATTATATTATTATATATAGATGAGATGTTAAACCGAGGTCCTGACTCTCTGTGGTCATTAAAAATCCCATGGCACATCTCGTTAAGAGTAGAGGTGTAACACTCCCCCCATTGGCCCTTAACGATCATTCCTCCTGATCATCCCCATCCACTGAGTGTCTATCCCTGTCTCTCCCTACACCTGTTGCTGTGTGTGTGTGTGTGTGTGTGTGTGTGTGTGTGTGTGTGTGTGTGTGTGTGTGTGTGTGTGTGTGTGTGTGTGTGTGTGAGCGCCTGGTGTGACTGTAAAGCGCTATATAAATGCCTCATTCTCATTTTATAAATATAAATAAATCATTTTGAATCTCTTTGAATCCCTTTTACTAATAACAAACTAATGATTATTTTCCAAGGCCTGTGTTGGTGTGTGTTCGTGAGGTCACACAAACTTTTGTTTCATCAGACCACAAAACCTCACAGATAAACAGCGCGTCCCACGTTCACAAACACACTTTATCATCTGCTTTAAACAATAACACACACACACACACACGTTATACACTCACAGTCGCTCTCGGCGCGGAACAGGAAAGTGCGATTGTGCGTCACGACCTCAAACTTCTGATCGCCCACGTTGACCACGCCGGTGATGGACACTGTCGGTATGATCCTCTTCGAGTAGATGTCCTACACACACACACACACACACACAAACACAAGTGTGTGTTTAGTCCCCCATCAGCAGCGGATGTAAATGTCAGCGGTGAAGAAGGACACGTGCGGTGAGACACGTTCATTTCACATCAAACTTTAACCAGATGAGCGTAAACTACTCTAAAGTCACCATGAACAGAGAATAGAGAAGAAAAGACTAGAGAAACGTGTTAAATCAGAAACACACACCTTCTCCGTGTCGAAGTATCTCAGGTATTCAGCATCCAGTTTGACCCAACGTCTCTGGTAGATCAGAGATCTGCACACACACACACACACACACACACACACACACACACACACACACACACACACACACACACACACACACACACACACACACACACACACACACATTTCATAACACAGTTTATTTATATAAGACAGATTGCTTCAAAAAAAATTTAAACTAGTTTTAAACAAACAAAAAAAGCCAGATTGTAACAACCTTTTTTTTTTTTATTACACATATTTTGTTCTGGAAGTGCAGGTTGTGTTCTCTTGAACATGTGGGATAAAAACTGCTTTATTCACAAATTGATTTACGCAATATTCAAATTTTAGACAAAAGTAACATTTGCAAATTTGGATGGAAACATAGATACACACTCTCTCTCTCACACTCACACTCACACACACACACTCACACACTCTCACTCACACTCTCACACACTCTCACACTCTCACACTCTCACACACACACACTCACACACTCACTCACACACTCACACACTCACACACTCACACACTCACACACACACACTCACACATTTTCAAAAAACATCATTAGTATACTATGTGTATTAACCGATTTCTCCATGGAGATGCAGGTGATCGCAGGTTTTACTATCCTTGTGGGGACCTTTGGTCCTGACAATGTAATAGACACACACACACACACACACTCACACGCACCCTTGGGGAGGATTCTTGTCCAACCAGCCCATTTTAATAACCGGGACGCTCGCGGAGTCGAAATCTTCCCGAGGAGGCGAAGCACTAACATGACCGGTATACGGCAGATAGATGCTGTTCTGAGAGCTGGAGATCGAGCCGAAGTCATCAATCCACGAACCCCGTCTGTGTGTGTGTGTGTGTGTGTGTGTGTGAGAGAGAGAGAGAGAAAGAGAGAAGCAAACATCTAATAAACACACACTCACAGCCAAAAAACACACCCTATCAGACCTACACACATCTATATAATGTTCAATTTCTAAGTTCAGTTGTTACATGATTTCTGTAATATATTCTTTTTATATTATGTATTATTATTACTCTTTATTTATTTCATTATTATTGTTTTATGTTATTATTTTTGCTATATCTAGTTCATGAATAAATATATATATATATATATTTTTTTTTTGTCATGCCAGTAAAGCTTTCTGAATTGAGATCGAGAGAGAGAGAGAGAGAGAGAGAGAGAGAGAGAGAGAGAGAGAGAGAGAGAGAGAGAGAGAGCGAGAGAGAGAGGGAGAGAGAGAGAGAGAGAGAGAGAGAGAGGTCAAGAAAAGAAGGAAGTGTTATTATTACATTGAACATGAACTTCTCCTATTGCCTAATCCACTGAAGCCTTACAGTAACACATTTGCGTAACTGCAGAAACAGTATAAATACGTCGCTGCATCTGTTAATAGACTCACTTGACCGTCACGGATTGGTAGCAGTGTGTGTCGTCATCGAGCAGCTCGTCGTCGCTGCATAGGCTGCTGTAGCGGGGCTTCGTCGCCTTGGGAACCAGCAAGGACATCTATTGGAGGAAACAGCTGTCAGTCACACAGCGGCTGCGCTGATTGGACGAATCTGAGGTGCTGATGAAGGCTCACTAATACGTACCTTGTTGGCCAATGTCTATGAGCTTAGCGTCTCTGCAGGGCTCGCGGTCGTCATAGTCATCTGAGCTTTCCCCTGAATCCAACTCTACAGAGCAGAATAAGAGAAAACAGGAGATGAATTAATCAGACGAGGCTTTGCATGTGTTTAGAGCATCACACTCTTGCAGAATGACTAGAGTAGGTACACAAACATTGATGTGCCACGAAATGCTTCATCTTGTTTTTGTTTTTTTTCTTAAATATTATATGTGACCTTGGACCACAAAACCAGTCACAAGGGTCAATTTTTTTTTAAATGTAACGTAAAATTAAAATATTGGGTTGAGATACAACTATTGAAAATCTGGAATCTGAGGGTAAAATCTAAACATTGAGAAAATCTCCTTTAAAGTTGTGCATTTATGTTTATGATTTTGCTGCATTCACTCGCAGAAATAATTTTTATATATATTATATATATTTACGGTAGGAAATTTACACAATATCTTCATGAAACATGATCTTTACTTAATATCCTAATGTCCAGGGTCACATATTTATTGTAGTATTTTCAGTTTTACAGACGAATAAACAGTACAATCACAGGACAGGACCAAACACAACTACACACACACACAAAAAATAAACAAAAAAACAACAACAACAACACTAAGCACAGGCAAGGGGAGGTCCAAACAGACTCATGCACAACCTGACATGATTGGACAAGGTGAAATTGTAAATAAGTAAATAATAATAAAAGATACTGCATAGGCAAATCTGCCATGAAAACACTGGTTTAATTTAAGGAGAGTGACAATTATAAAAGAAAACAATTAGATTTCAAATTGTGTCATTATTGTCTCTGACTTTGACTAATAGTCAAGAAGTGCCCAAGGAATTTTAAATCCACCTATGTTTACAGAGATATTCAAAATTAGGAAATAATAAGAAAAAACCGACACCTATGTATTTTTACCAAAAAAAAAAAAGAGTCATTGTTTGAGGAAAGTGGCAATAATAATAAAGAACAATTTGTCACTATTTTTTGATACATAATTAAGGAAAAGACTTTCAGATATTCAAATGAGATATTAAAACAAAACAAAAACCATGGGCATCTTTATATTGAAGACAGAGGTTCAAATGCTTCATCATTAAGTGTGCGCTGCTGCAGCTTTGAGCTCATTTATATGCTAGAATGATAGTTTAATTAGGGCACACACACATTTGAGCCAATCAGATGCTGTGTAGAATGAGAAAGCTCCTCCCCCTGATCTCAGCTGCCAATCACGTGATGTAAACCAAAGCCTACAGGCTTATTGAGAAAGAGAACAAGCCCTTTTAAACATCCTGCAACAACTTCCTGTTTCATCAAAACAAAAGTTTGGGATCGGAACGATTTTTAATGTTTCTGAAAGAGTCTCTTCTGCTCATCAAGGCTGCATTTATTTGATCAAAAACACAGTAAAACAGTGAAATATTATTGTAATGTAAATCAGCTGTTTTCTATGTGAATATACAGTAAAGTGTAATTTATTCCTGTGATCAAAGCTGTATTTTCAGCATCATTACTCCAGTCTTCAGTGTCACATGATCCTTCAGAAATCACTCTAATATGAGGATCTGATGATCAAGAAACAGTTATGATTATTATCAGTGTTGGAAACAGTCGTGTACATTTATTTTTCAGGATTCTTTGATGAATAGATACTAGTTCAAACGCACAGCATTTATCTGATATATAATCTTTAGTAACATTAAACACTCCCGTTCAAAAGCTTAGGTTTTTATTCTGGGGGGGGGGGGGGGGGGGGGGGGGGAATAAATCAATACTTTTATTCATCAAGGACGCATTAAATTGATCAAAAGTGACAGTAAAGACATTTATAATGTTACAAAAAAAATCCTATTTCAAAAATAAATAAAATACAACTTTCTATTCAGCAAAGAATCCTGAAAAACAATGTTTCCAACACTGATAATGATCATTAATGTTTCTTGAGCATCAGATCCTCATGTGCCCTTTTTACACACACACTGAACAACATGAAGCATTGCTTGGTCACTGGTTGAGCTAAACTGGTATTATCTAATTGTGTAGTTAAATTTAACATCTGACAGATATTCAACATAATTCATGTGTGAGAGTCTAACAGAAGGACGGACAAAACCAGTCAAATATCCACTGATCTGAGAACTCTGAGTTCTGCTCATGTTTATCACCATTTTCTAAACTATAGCGAATAAACTGAGATAATGTGAGAAATGTTGAAGGAGTCTGGTTTGACTGTATGTAGGCATTTAGCCCTGAACACAGGATTGTTTTCGATGTTCGGTAAGTCCTGTCTCGAATTAAACGCCACGGTCAACGCGAAACGGAGCAAGAGAAGTCCTGCTATACACTAATGATGAGGTTTAAGGCATGACAGGTTTTGGTTAATGAATACAAAACTGTGTTTGTCAAGTTATCAAGTCACCTTCATTCATATAGTGCTTTACAGAATCAGACTACGGTGGCTGAGAGGGCTCAACACGCACAACTGAAGAAAACACCCGCAAATTAAGAAAACATCCTCATCAGTTTCACAACACACACGTGCTCCAAATACTCACAACACAACCACACACAGCAAATACAGCTCTGCAAATACTCACAACACAAACACACACACCAACGCTCAGCAAATCGTGGATCGCACTCGATGAAGGACGGCGTAATGTCCTCATTATTTACAGCTGGGATGTTCCCATGACGGCTGTTATTACCAGAAATATATTATTATTGCTGACTGTTAACATAACTGTTGCAAATAAATATACATTTTATACAAAAAAGTTGTTAAAATATGCGTTATATATCTGTGAGTGTCTCAACTTTAAAACGTGCCGTCTCATCTTTGGACCCTGCATTACCTCACATTTATTATGAAACTTATTTAAACATTTCATGACAAAATTTGTGTAACTGATGTATAGATTAATATCTTTCCCTCATGTTCTTTTTTAGTTTTCAGCTCATTGTTAACTCTTCTTTTCTCATGTGTATTCTGATGACATTGAACATATTGTAGGCTATACAAACTTATATGTCATCTCTGTCCAAAAAAACAAAAAGTTTTAAAAATAAAATTAAATAAGTAGACTGAGCTATAAGCGTGTCCCAGCCGGGGCGTCACTTTTACGTTTTCTTAATTTGCGGGTGTTTTTCTATTTGCATGTGTTTTCTTCAGTTGCAGCGCATTGAGCCCTCTGGGCCACCGTAGCAGACTCAGAATCACAGTCTTTATTTGTCATTATACAAAAGTGTACAACGAAATATGGAATCCAATTCATTGCATAAATCAATCTCCCACTTTACAAACAACAATCCTATGTGCAAAAAAAAAAAAAAAAAAATCCTACTT